AGAGTCAGAGTAGACAGATAGGTCGAATCCCCCCTTGCGAAAAAGAAGACCATGATTCAAAGTGCCTTTGAGATAGCGCAGAACGCGTTGCAAGGCATGATAGTCCTGCTCAGTGGGGTTGTGCATAGTCTGAGACACTCGATTAACAGCATACTGAATGTCTGGACGAGTGACAGCCAAGTAATGTAAACCGCCAACAATGCTCCGAAAATGAGAAATATCCTTGAAAGGCAACGAAGGCTTAGTGATAGGTCTCGTAGCCATAGGAGTAATAGCCGGATGACAGTCGGACATCCCAGCTCGGCGTAGAAGATCACGGGCATATTTGGATTGATGGAGAAGTATAGAATCTTGCGTGCGCTGAACCTCAATGCCAAGGAAGTAATGAAGAGGTCCAAGTTCTTTGAGCTTGAAGTCACGGTGCATGGCCTGAGTAACTTCTGAGATGAGAGTAGAAGAGCTGCCAGTGAGAACAATATCATCAACATAGACAAGGACAACAATAGTCCCACGAGAGCAGTGTCTGGTGAACAAGCTGGTATCATGAATGCAGCACTTGAATCCAAGGCCCTGCAAAAAAGAGGAGAGGCGTGTGTACCATGCACGGGGTGCCTGTTTGAGACCATATAGTGATTTGCGGAGCTTGCAAACATAGTGAGGATGAGTGGGATTTATGTACTCCGGGGGCTGCTCCATATAAATTTCCTTGTCCACTGTACCGTGAAGAAAGGCATTGCTAACATCTAGTTGATGAAGAGGCCAATCACGGTTGAGTGCTAAAGAGAGGACCAGGCGCACTATTTTTTGCTTGACCACAGGACTGAATGTCTCCTTGTAATCAATGTCATACTCCTGATGATAACCTTTTGCGACAAGACGAGCCTTATACCTTGAAACAGATCCATCAGCTTCAGATTTATGTTTTAGGGGATAAATCCAGGTAAATTTGCTGAAATCATCAACAAAAGAGATATAAAATCGAAAACCGCTACAGGAAGGAACAGAGGTGGGACCCCAAACATCAGAATGTATTAATTGAAAGGGCACTGTGGCCTTATGTTCAGACAATTCAAAAGGTAAACGACAGGACTTAGAGACATAACATGATTCACAATGTAAAGGCTCTGAAAACTGAAAACCTAAGGAAGACAAAATAGATTTGGCAATCGCAGGAGCGGGATGACCGAGTCTACGATGCCAAGTGGACGAGTGGATAGCTTGATACGCAATGGTTGGGAGTTTGGAAGGAAGTGTGTATAACCCATGCTCACAGAGGCCCTTGTACCGCACCTGGTTGGTAGGATTGTCCACTATCTGGAAATCATTGGCATTGAAAACAAGGGTGCAGTTGTTATCTTTGGTAAATCGATGGACAAACAATAGATTGGAGGTAAGGGAAGGGACATAATGAAGAGTAGAAAGGTGGTATTTACCATTAGGAGTATGGACAAAACCTGAGCCAGAGTGTGTGATGGGTAGGGATTGACCATTGCCTACGGTAATAGCATCAGTACCGGTGTATTGATGAGGAGATTGTAGCTGAGAATAATCAGACGTGACATGGGTGTTGGCACCAGTGTCCA